ATAGACTATATATAAATTGACTAAAAATGATCAACTTACATTAGCACATAAAGAGCTTACAAAAATTAGATCATGCCTGAATATTCTTAGCTTTGAAGATATAGAATATGTATATGATACTTGTTCAAAGATGATGACGATTATTCCAGGGGCCGATTTTATTCAATTTATGTATTATTTAGAGTCGCTCATACTTCAGTTATTTGAAAAACATATTGAATATGATCCAAATATTTTAATTTATATCAACAATAATCTCTTAAGCAATCAATCTTTAAAAGAGCAGTTTAATAACCTTTTGCAAATAGCATATAAGATTCAATCTGAAAATTAAGAATTACTTTTAGAATCCATATATGACCATATTTAATTATCAAAAGAGACTGAGGACTATCTATTGGCGCGCTTGATCAAGATTTATATGAGAAGTAGACAACGATCTTGGCGACAATTTAAAGAATATATTCCAAAAAAAGGTTCATCTAGCTTACGAGAGAATGTCAAGACAATGAATTCAGATTTAAAAAATGATGCAACAAAAGAGAATAAGCTGAAAATAAAGTCCATTATATTTAAGAAAGAGATGCTACCAGAAGATCTTGACTTGGCACTTTGTCAGCTTAAAATTTGGGCTCGAGATAATAAAGCTAAAAGTACATTTGAGAAGGCATTTACATTGTCTGATCTTAAGATTCTTGTCCAAGCATTTCAAAATGAACCAGTAAAAATGAAAGGAAAAAAAAAGTCTGTCCTCCTGGATCTATTGTTTAATCATTTGCAAAGTAGCTCAGAATTTAATGAAGAAACAAAAAAGAAAGGTCGACTTTTTGATTAAAACAAAATTGAGAATTACTCATAATTCATATGTAAATTTGATTATCATATACGCAAACTCTACACTTTATTTGAAAATATGTATGTTTGTCTTATATAATGATAATATGATTAATTTTAATTTATGTTTAGGTGTCCAAGTCAAATATGACAATTCCAATGAACAATATAGCTTTGGTATTTTAAATCTGCTGAAAGTAGCTATTTGGATAGACAATGCAATCGTGAAGTTTATGCAAAGGTATAGAATAAAAAATGATAATTGAAATTTGCCAAAATAACTATTCACTTGGACAATATAATCTTGGAATTTGCTATGACGAAGATATAGTATGATCAAGAATAAAAGAAGGCATTTGAATAGTTTTTTGAAATTTTTTGAAGGTGGCAATTTATAATGAAAGCATATGAAAAAACATCTAGTGGTATTCAAAAGGGATATTTGGGTGGACAACATAATCTTGAGTTTGTATTCATGAAGATGCAGGGTAAAAAAGCATTTGAGTGATATTTAGAATTTACTGAAGATGGCAATTCTTTTATAATCATGGTATCTCTATAAAAGTAGTGTAAAAGCTAGGCAATTGATTAATTTTTAAATATGCAAAAAAATAAGAACTTTAATGGATAATATGAAGTTAGATTATGCTATGAAAATCGGTACTAGATTATTGATTATTCATAAAAAA